GTTTCAATTTAGGGATTTCAAAAATTAGGGATTTGGGATTTAGGAATTTTCAAACAATTAAAATGAGAGAACTCGAAACAATTGGAATTGCCAAAACAATGGAGAAGAGATGAGTTGTAATTTACAAAGAAAATGAGAGAATTAGGGTAGATTTTGCCAGATAACGAAGAAGAAGAGAAGGTCTGGAGTTTATGGATTTTGATACGACGCAACAATTTGGGATTTAGGGATTTTGGATTTTGATACAACGTAACAATTTGGGATTTTACTAGATAATATGTTGGAGGTATTTTTGTCCTCTTATTTTTATTTTTGTAAAATAATAATTTCTTATATTCAAAATTGTTAGTTTTTTTTTTCAAATTTATAAGTTTTGGTTTTCGAATTATAATCTCACAATTGGGATCCACATGCCCACGTGTCGATCTCTGATTGGTTATCATCATTTAAAAAGTGTCATGCATGATCTATAGTTAACTGGAGGGTCTCGATCAATAAATTTATAAGAGCACAAGGTTTCAATCAAGCCGAAAAGCATTATAGGGTCTCAATAAAAAAAATTAAAACAGTAGGTAGGACCAATTTTGGGGTAAACCCTAACAAAAATATACTACAAGGAAAATTATGGAATTGTTCAATTGAAATTACAAAAAAAAAAAAGAAGCTAAATTAAAATAATAGTTTACTTTTTACTAGCACTATTTGAAGCAGTGTTCACACACACTCATTTGCACTATTTGCCAAGACTCGTGTGCACTATTTTCTTTACTATACAATGGTATTTTCATGATTTTCGAGTGTTTTTAGACATTCATATGAAAATTTAACATAGTATTCCATGTTGATCCCTCATGTTTTCAAAAGATATTTTATTTTATAGATGGACCAAGCACGCATGCTTGCTTGTTTTTTTTTTTTGTTGCAATTTATTTTAATTTTTTTATTATTGAATTATAAGTAAAAATTATGAAAAATCAATTATTATTTATTTTGGTCCCTAGATGGACATGCTTGCCTTTTTTTTGGAAATTTATTGTACTTTTTTTTTATTGAATTGGATGCAAAAATAATGAAAAAACAATTGTTATTTTGTTCGATTTTTCATATAGAATGATGATTATGAAATATATATGTTATGTTTTTCATATTTTAAAATGAATTTTTAATTGATTGCTTATCGAAAAAAACTTATTCAAAAATCTGTACATAGAAGAAAATAAATAATATTTTTTAACAAATCAAATTATATAAAAAGAGAATAAAAAATTAATCTGATAAGAGTTTTCATAGAAGAAAGCAAACTAGAGAGATTAAATTCAAATAATATGAATTGTGTGTTTTCATTACAAGAAGAATAAATTAAATATAATTTTTTGATTAAAAATTATGAAATCAAATTAAACTGACTGGTAGTTGTTGCCCCCCCCCCCCCCCCCCCCCGGCGCGCGTTTGTTTAAAATGTAACTTATTTCATCTATCAAGCCCAAGTTTGCTAGGTGTTTGGTGCCTACAGCCTACAAATTAATAAAACCCAATTTATTTTGATAAACCAAAAGGAGTAAAACTTTTTATTATTTCCAAAATTTCTTCAGACAGTATTTGAAAAGAGACAAAACAGTAAATAGTTTCGGTTTTGGCGTTTGGGCCCAAAAAAATAATTTGGTTGAAAGATTTTTTTTTATTAAAATGAAAAGATAATTAGATTATCGTATATTTTTCGAAATGAAAAATTATACCTTCATCGTATTATTTATTTATTTGAAATAATCTTTTCTATATTTCCATCAGGTTCAATTTTAAAATTTTTTTCGATAATAGCTATGATCACGCATGAGAAAGTAGATGTATCATCTACTAACACTGCATGTCGAAGTGGAAAAAACTCAAAACTCTATTTCGATCTAAGATTTAGGATAAAGATTGTTTGACTTACCTAATAAACAAGCCATGTTCACCTATCAACATTTCAGGCTTGAGCTGGGCTGCGTGGGGGTCCAGCCCATAATTATGTCTCTTCGAGCTAATGCCCACAGAGAAGTTTAGAAGAGACACCCGGCTCTGGGAACTGGGAGGAGTGAGCAGTGAGGGATCGCTTTAAAAATCGACTTAATGACATATTTTACCGCTAAATTATTAGGTTTGTGGTACGATAAAGACTGAACTATCTCTCAAATTTATTTTATTCTAATTTATTTTTAGATAAATTATGTCTTTTTTATCTGATTAAATTATTAAAACGGATAGTAAAATTTTAACAGGTAACTAAAAAGCTTAATACGACAAGGTTTTGAATGTTTTATTTTACATAAAACTAGTTTGAAAATGAATAGATTAAAAAAAATAATTACGAAGAGAGGTTTTAATAATTCTTTTTCAAAATAATTTTGTTTAAAAAAAAAGAAGAAAAACCAAATAATGAGCGCTATTCATAAAATCTCAATTTTAAAAATTGAACACATATGAAAAGAGGTGTTAATACTTCTTCTTTCAAAACAGTTTTGTGTAAAAAAATTCTAAATAAAATTGTATCGAACTTTGACCTCTTTAATTAAAGGTTAAAGTTTGATTGTGGGTTTTGAAGATTGAATTAGATAAAAATACATAATTTGTTAAAAATATATTAGCTTGAGAACAAAATATATTAAATTGATAGATCAAAACTTATTTTGCCGGCAACTCCAATAATTTAAAAATAAAATATGCTATTAAAATTTAAAAAATCAAGGATTATACTTGCAGGATAAAACTTGGCTATGAAGCAATCTAGCAATCTGAGCAACGAATTTGTACGGTCACTAATAATGTACATTTGCAGAAACAAAAAAAGTTGTTAAAGGGGCAAAAAAAAAAATGATACGTTTGTTGAACGACCACGACAAAAAAATTACAATTATTCATCAAGACATGCTTAGGAATAAATTGTCTACAATTAACTGTACCGAAATTATTGTTTATTATCTTATGTGAAGACAAAATCATAATCATACTCCACGCCTCAAACTTCTCCGTTCTTCCACATGCCATGTCTTATCCTTTCTTTTCATATTGACAGCTTACTTTCAACTTAATCAAGTCAAAAGTTAATTTTTTTCCTTTCTTCTAACAAGTAAGACTGAAGTCAAAAAGTTACTGTTCTACCAACGATTCGTTCGGGTGGTAAATCATTCAGTCTAACCCTTTGTTTTGGATAGGGTAGAAAGCGAGGGTGAGGAAAGAAAATAAGGGATAAAAGAAATATTTCTGTTGTTTGGGAAGTGGAAAGAAAGCAATGGAAAGAAAAAAAAATAATAAACAATACAAAAATGATGGGATCCATTTTACTCCCAAAGTTGGGAGGAAACGGGGAGAAAAAGATGAGAGAAATCATTTTTTTTTTGTTTTCGCATTTTTGACCTTGCAGCCATCCTCCTCATTTCTTCTCCATATAAACAGATCTGCAGAACAGATCTCCATCATCCTAGATAATGGAAGCAAAAGTTCCTAAATAATTTCAACCAAAGTGTAGCATCAGTCTTGCTGCGAGATCACTTGGGAGTCTTTTGAAATCTGAAACAGATGTTGAGAAGTAGAAGAAAATATTGAAGAGCGATCTGTGGGATTTGAAAAATGACCAAATTCTTCCTGCTTTGCGAGTGAGCTATTATTATTTGCCATCACATTCAACATGACTTGGCAAAATTTGTGTCTAGAGAGTTTTTCATAGACGTGGCTTATAGCAATTCATGTTATAAGCAATCTTAAGGGCATTGCTGAACTTAAAAATTTACGCACCTTTTTATTCCCAAAAGCTCCACAAAAGAAGCTTGGTGAAACGACAGTGAGTAGATGGGCAACTAACAAGACAATCTGTGCTTCCTTATTTTCAAAATTCAAGCAAGACAATATACTTTTATTTTTTTAATTACTAAATAATAATTTTTAATAAAAAACAAAAATGGAGAAAATGATGGGTAAAAGCAACTAACTTATTATATGCATAGATAATAATACATGTTATACATATTTAAATTAATTTTATGTTGATAATTAATATAAATTGGCTATTGGATTAATTAATTAATAAACGGTTATCGGTTATGCTATGAAGACGATTCATTATCTATCTTATCATTTCGGATATATGCTACATGTTAGATTTTTTTTATCATCATTTGTGTTATTTTCATGACAAAAATATTCATACAAATTTATTATAAGTATTTAAATATATAAATATAATCACAAGAGTATTATAGTAAATATACAATCATACATTTTCTTTCCTTCATTTTCTAAACAAAGGAAATGTATTTTCTTTCCTTTTTTTTTCACTCTTATCCAAACAACAAGTGAAAAATGATTTTCTTTCCTCATTCTTTTCTTTTCTCTCACTTTCTTTCCTCCCAAGAGGAATTATCCAAACATAGGGTAAGTGTAGCATTTCGAAGTTACTTAATGTTATTGATTTCTTTGAGAAATAGTACATTTTGATTAATCAGCTTAATTTGTAGAGATATTTTAAGTTTTAATTTAGATATAAATGTGGTGAATAACATAATATAAGTTAATAAATTACTCTGAATATGTGTGGTTTATATATGTTTTTGTGGTTGGTATGCACATTTAATTTTCATTTCACACAGTAATATTCGGCAATAAAGAGCCGTATGGTATAATATTGTTTTTTTCTCTGTACAAAATGTTTATTATCACTTCTTTTTATATTTGGAAACTAGCTCCAAATTTACGAAATTTGAAAAATTAATTGAGGTATAACTCATCGGTATCCTAATATAGTGTTGTCAAGTGTGTAACAACATTAATTATGTTTTTAAATGAGTATATTCTCTTACCATTTTTTCTGCCTTAATATTTTGTTTTCCTTGTTTTGCCCTTTCTTTATTACTTTCCTTCGACTGTGGAATATATATATATATATATATATATATATATATTTAAAAAAAAACATGTTATTTTAATATGACGATAAGGAAATTCCCTCCATGCCAGCTTGGAGGAAATTATTGTATATTGTCACATAGTGCATTTTTCCCAGTTTGGATCCATGTGTCAGATACACACTTGTTGTGTCCAGTCAGATTCAAGATGTCACCCAAACGCGTCTTTATTTTTCTACCGCTCGTAAAAACCAAGCTTTTCTCGGGTCCTAGTCCTCTGTTCATCTTCTTCATCCAGTCCTGCAGAACTGCATCACCATGATACCCTTCATGCACCCTCACCCACACTCTCCCAACAAGCGCGTAACGCCCACTTCCTACACGTTTTCAAACATTAAACACCCACCTCCTCGACCCACGGGCCACGTGCCATACGACTTTTCAGTGGCTCTCCAGCTAACCTCTAACCCGCCCCTACGATCCATCCGTAATTGCAGAAACATCACGGAAACAAATACACATGGCAATTTTCTATTGGCAAATGTACAGAACACGTTAAACCTGACCGTAGAAGGAGAAAAAAAACCACACAGCACACCACCAATAATTGATCATGCTCCTAAATCCTCACTGTATGCAAGCTGGCACCGTTGTCTTCTTCTTCTTCAACCTCCATTTTCTACCTGACTCTCTCTCTCTCTCCAAAAAAAAAAAAAGTCTTTAAACCCTAACTCTAATCCCTTCCCCAATCTGTAAATAACCACTAAATCCATGCTTTAACCACAGCTAGAAAACCAGAAAGCAAAAATGCTCGGTTTAATTTGTTTCCTCTCGTTTCTCCTAATCTCAATCCCGACCGTCTATTCTAATGACGAAAAATCGATATACGATGTATTGAAAGCCCACGGGCTGCCGATGGGGTTGTTGCCGAAGGGAGTGAAAGAATTCAACATCGATGAAATGGGGCGTTTCGAGGTACACTTGGATCAGGCTTGCAATGCGAAATTTGAGAGTGAATTGCATTACGATATGAATGTTAGCGGGAGTTTGAGTTATGGGCAGATCGGGGCTTTATCAGGAATTTCGGCGCAGGAGTTGTTTTTGTGGTTTCCTGTTAAGGGAATTCGTGTTGATGTGCCGAGTTCTGGTCTTATTTATTTTGATGTTGGTGTTGTTTTTAAGCAGTTTTCGCTTTCGTTGTTTGAGATGCCTAGGGATTGTGTTGCTGTTCGTGATGAGGAAATTGAGTCTGTTCGGCGTGGAAAGTTTATGGCTGATGCTGTTGCCAAGGTTTAGTTTCATTCATTGCCTTTCCTTTTCTTGGTTATTGATAAGATTTTATCAAGAAGTTTTGGAGTTTCAATTTTGAATTGAATGTGGTTGCGTCCAACATTGGTTATTTTGATTGGGGTTGAGAGATCTTTACGTTTGTTAGAATCATTTAAATCATAATCTAGGCCTCACCACCCCCGCTTTTTCAAGAATTAAGCATGATATAATGTGGGCATGTGCAAGTTTTAAGCCAAAGATTTTCACTTAAGAGAGTGTGTTAGAATCATTTTATCATGTTCTTTGATAACGTTGATTGATGTTTTTGACTTTTTATGTGTTTTGCTAATTTATATGCAGAGTCAATCTGGGAAGTTAAGATATCGACTTGATCAGGAAAATTTTGGGAGGGATTTCCTGTAGAGTGTGCGGGAGAAGGTTACTTATGATGTGCACTAGCTCAATCAACTTGTGGGTTCTCCATTTTACCTTGTAAATTTCATCAGCAAAGAGTCTGGTTAGCCGGTCTAATGCTTCCATCCAGTGTGTTTGCTTGTGTTCGTTTATCCCATATAGTGCAGATTATGGAAAGTAGCAGAGCCAGCTCTTGTCTATGCATGGATACCTTGTGGATTTGATTGAGTTGAGAGCCAAAAATTAAGGAGGCAGCAGTATGATGTCTTTCGTCGTCCTGCCTATGGAAGATAGAGAGAGACAGGAGCAATTCGGTTGAGGTGATTTCAGGTGATAAATTCGATATAAGTTCAATTTATATGTTAATTTGTTGTATTACGAATACAAAATATGCGTGCCATCCATATGGAGTCAGTTTTTGTAGTGCAAGTTTTTTAGATCGATGAGAGACACATACTTCAATGATATAAAAGTTCAGGAATAAAAGGCTTCTTTGCTCAATTATACGTTTCCTTCTACAATTGACTTGGAATTTTTATTTTTGATTTTGCTACTTCACCGGTCTTCTCGGTTTGTATTTTTTAAACTTCTTTCTTTGTATTTTCTTGAGATTCCATCCTGCGGTCTTGACTTTCACTAATGGTTAATTCATCAATTAATTAGTAATCTCCATTTTCTTTAACTGGCTTGTATTCATGTTGTTATGCTCAGGTGTAAATCTCCAGAGTTTCTTCTGTCAGAGAATTTGAGCTGTGGATTTGACTTCATTATTTATGAAAATAAATTCCTGCAACAAGATATAGCTTTCCTACTCTTAGACATTTTTTTAGGGCTTGGGGGTTGGCTAGGCAAAATGACTGAGCTTTTAGTTTCAGGATTTTTAATTTGATTCAGGAATTATGAATCCATGATATACAACTATACTATATTATTATGCACCATGAAGTCTAGTGAGGTTTTTATGGAAGTTGAAGTGTCAGGTGTAACTTCTGTACTTACTCATCCTCCATGATTCTTTACTTTTCCTATACCCTGGTAATATTTCCTTCTTGCCCCATGAAAGGGCTGACCTCTGACATAATTATAAACTCTTACGTTCTGTTCAGAAAATATTAGCCTTTTCCCTCTCTTTAAGTCAGGAGACTAGTTCAAAATTTATAGTGCTCTGATGTAAGGTTGACTGATTTTTAGGTTGGAGAATCTGGCCTTTTGTAGAAGCATGCGAAAACCGCACTTGAGTGGATCATAGAAACAGTCAGATTAGGACCTTGAGTGGCTTGGTAATTGAATCCAACTAGCATAAGCTGGCATTACTTGCCACACGTGATGTGATGATCTGCCTATTTAGGTTCATGACCCCAAGTTGCACAATGCAAATTAGTCTATCCCTAGTTTATCTATGTTTCAAGTAAACCTACAGCCCTTTTGCCATGAATTTCTTCTCGGCTGGTGATCCTGCATGAATAACCTAGAGGACATATAAGTTACTGCTGTGTTCGCACAAAAGGAGATTTTATGGTCGGGGTAGTAAATAAAACCAGATTGCATATGTTTTTCTGTTTGCTGACAGCTGGAGGTTCAATACTAACATTCTTACATGCTTCAATTTTTGCAAAAAAGCAGCGTGGTTGAACCAGATAGACAAGATCTAGTTTGATTGCTTGCCAGTTTGTCCCACATGGATTTTGGACGCTGTGTTGCATATTCTTCAACAATCATTTCATTGTTTTATCGTGTGCTTCACAAAATTATTAAGAGACCTGGACATGACAAAATGGGATGGGCTCGGTTGCCTACTTTTGGCTTGTTCTGTGTATGGTAATAGTTAAAAGACACTGATACGGTGTCCGTTGTCTAGGATGGTATCCGTGTTGAACTACCTTGCTAGTACAGAAAGCTTAGATATTTCTTTGATGGAAGGACAGGCTAGTTGATACCCCCATGCAGTGCTAGCCAGATATTATGAACAGCTTGCATGTTGTAGTGGTCTGCTTTTGTGTACTTGTTTGACCTACTGTTGCAAGTCTGATATGCGCAAAATGTAAGCTGTATCCTGTATGACAAGATTTGTTTGAACTCTGGGTGTGTTGAGAAAATAGCAGGGCCCACCCTTTCTGATAGGGATTATGACAATGGTTCGTATATACGTGCTTTGTGTCGCAATACAATTATTGGTCAAGATGATCCTGCTCTTGGTTACTTGTGCTCATTCCATCAGTATAGTAACACGGTGAACTCTGCTTGTGGACAGAGTATGAAACCTATATTTGTTTCTATTTATTAATTAGATCCAAGCGTTATTAAATTATCGATCTGAGATAAAGGAGATAGCGTGGTAACATCCATGTAACTTGAGAGGCAAATATGGGAACCCTAATGCTGTTATGTTTTGTGGAAGGTGAGTTTAAGTCTTGTTAAATTTATCTTTGCCATTTGACCGAGAAGGCTCCAAATACTTGTTTATTCTCGAATTGATGGCCTTACAATTCCAGTATTCTCCTATTCAAAATTCTTGCAGTAACTGTGTCTTTATCCTCTCTATTTTAAATACACTACCCTTGCTTTATTTGTGTTGTAAATCCTATTTAACTTGATATGTTGTAGTAGATGAGTGACTAAAAGTAAGGTCTGTGCCTAAAAGTATACATGTTATGATTGACATCTCCTATCTGCCTTTTTTTTTTTTTTTTATCTTTTTCTGTTTTTCTTTTTTTGGCACATGTACGAGAAGTTTAATCAAGAAAGAGAGTGTAATGGGAGGCGTGCCAGCTCGTATAGTTTATAGCTAGCTAGCATCACTCCAATTTGATTGTGACCCATCAAGTACGTACACGGATGAATCTATAGAAGAATGAAGTATTTTGCAACTTGATTTTTAAATCCAGATTGGTTGTTTGCAGCAGTGCATTTTAAGCTTGCTTCTTTGGTTTATAGTGGCCAGCTTCATCTTTGGAATGCTGTCATTTCTCTGTTCTTTTATTGGGTTGTTCTGACCAGTCGCGTGGAGCTTGTTTTGATCCAAAAAATAGCTGTCTAGCCGAACAGCAGGACGATGTGTAATGAGTTGACTACTGGAACAAACTGTGTGTGTCTGTCTATTTATATATAAGATTTATTTGTAAGAGAGATTGATAGGGCAGTTTCTGAGTAGGATAATAATTATAAAATATTCAATTTCAATGGTTTGATAGAGTTGTTTCGAGCTAGTTTAGTAATATATATATATATATAATCTCAAGTTTTTTAATAAGTTTTTGAGATTTATGTTTTGTTTTTTTAATCTTTTAGAGATTTATCTTGATTTTAATACTGGTACGTAGGATATATGTGAGGGATTTTTTTTTAATTTATAGTATTTAACAAATTAGTATTCTGGCGAAGAAGAGGTGGTTTTTCATCATCACCATGAGTTGAAGAGAGATGTTTTCCGGCCCTACTAAGAAACCATGCAATTCGAGCAGCTGCTTGTTTGCGTGTAGAAGCCACAAAGCATTGCGACGTAAAAAAAACAAAATCATGCAGCTGTTGTCAAAAGTAGTGCAGCATGCACATGTATGTTTGCGGAGGCTTGATGAAAGAGGAGAAACCACCGGAAAATGCTAACTTGTCAACATGTCAGCACTATATTTTTTCTTTTCTTTTCTTTTTTGCCACATGTGAGTTTTATATCAACGCGCAATGGTATACAAACAAGTTTGTCAATTGTTTGATTTATTGTAACTTTTTTGTACTTTTAAATTTTATTAGCTAGTTTACAATGTACTTTAGCCTTTGAGGAGCAAAAACAAAGCACCAATAAGGTATTAAATAGGTTATTATGAGTAGTTTATTAATAGGCTTATATCGAAAAGAGGATAAGCATCCATTTTGTCGCTACAGAGATCTCCAAAACTTCTATTGAAAAATTAGTTATTTGGTTGATTTAATGAGAATATAAGTTAAACTACGTTTTTGAGTTGTCATATAATATTAAAGGAAACTCAAAAATCTAAAAATAATATTGGTTTAAAGATTCTAAAGTAAGGAATTGGTTATTCCTTTCGAAAAATATCAATCATCAAAAAGCATAATTTTCGAGAAAAGATATCATGTCCGGTTTAATATTAAAAATTTATCTTTTTAAGAATTTCAATTTTTTGCCAAGTTAATTCACAAGTCAAAATTCGAAGTTTATTATCTAAGTCAATTTTTTTTTTTTGTGACATCATATTGAATTGATCGTCGAACTTCGTAGCCGGGAGTCTCGTTAATTTAATATCGAATTCGGCTTTAAATCTCGACATAACCGATATATCGAAAAACGACCTAATTAGTAAGGTAATAGGTTTTAATCCAATGATAATATCAGTCCCTATTAGATAATAGACTTGTTATAATTAACCTAGTGATTTTCTATTTATTTTTTGTTCTTTTTCCTTTTTTTTCTTTTCTTTTTATGTCCTTTTTTTCTATAATTTTTTTTTATCATTTTTCTTTTCATATTCATTTTTTTTATATGCTTTTCAATGTTAGTGGAGAATTATCATTAATCCCTAAAATTTCGGAGACTCGACAATCCACCATCATATTAATTTTTTAATTAAGCTAATGAATATTAAGTAATGTTTAATGCTAAATAAATCTGAAATTAATTCACAAAATTAAAAGATTTAACACACAACCTATATACAAGCCTATAGTCATCCATTAAAAATTTCAGATTTAAATAACATTAAACAAATAGGCTAAACTAGAATTTAAATAATTAAAGCAATTAACAACTAGGAATGAAATTAAATAAATTCAAAATAAAGGGGTAAATGAACTTCAAAAATTCTGAAAAATTAAACTTAAACTAAAAATAGCCTTATGCAACATATATAAAAAATTTTAGATTAAAATGAGTAAGGGTGTCGCTACTTGACGTTTGTGAGACTCTTGAAAACTTTTATTTAAAATTTATTGAAAATTTTGGCTATTTGGAGATATGAGTTATTATTAATTTCGTAGTCATCATATAGTATTAAAAGAGCTAATAACCTAAAATGAGTATTGGTTCGGAGATTTCTAGATTAAGGAATTGGTTGCTTTTGGAAATATATTGATCATGCAAAAGTGTCATTTTCTAAGAAAAGAATTATGTCTAGTTTAATCCTAAAATTTATCTCCTAAGATGCTTTATTTGTGCTAAATTATTTTCAATTAAAACTCCAATTTTTTTTTCCTAGGCCAAATTAAGTTTTTTTTTTTTTTGAGCATCATACCGAATCAATCGTCAAACCCCTTAATTGGGAGACACGCCAGCTCAAAATCGGATTTAGCTTAAGTCTCGATATAATCGGTATGTCTGAGAACAACTTAATTACTAAAATGTGATCGATTTGGACTAAAATTAGTTCCTATTAAATAGGAGACTTTGCTAATTTTTCACCTAATATCTTCTTCTCCTTTTTTTTTGTCTTAGCATTTTTTTTCCTTACATTTTTTCTAACATTTATTTTTTCCTTTTTTGTTCATTTTTTTTTAATTTTGTTTGTTGGTGGAGAATCGTCATGAGTCTCCAAAAATTAAGAGACTTGATAATTCATCCACCTATTAATAATCTAACTCAATTATTGAAATACATCATAAAATTAAACATTGACTAAAAAAATTCAAGACATTCAAAATACTAAATCTAAATTAAATAAACATGCATATATAATCTAAATTTTCTAACATAAATAAAATTAACATTTATTGTAAAATAACATCATAAAGTAATTAAAAATAAATAGGTAAGAGAAACAAACCAAGTGATCATTAAAAGTGACTAAAAATGCCAATAGAATGTTGTTGGAAATGACCAAAAATGCCTTTGGAGGCAAAATCACCAAACTATCCTTATGGGGGAAAATTACAAAATTGCCCCTCGAGAGATGAACAATCATTACCGATTGTTTGTTCAACTTTTGGTGATCCTTTGGGTGTGTGAACCACCTCACATCATAGAGGAGATTGTCACGAACTCAATGGTGGTGGTGGTAGCTACGGACAACATGAAGGAGGGAGATCGAAGGCTCCAAAGTTTTGGCCGGATCTCCTCTTTTCAACGACGATTCCAACAATGTTCAAGGATTTCGAGGACACCAATTGACTTGAGAGGCTAAGAGGAGTATTTCGTGGTGATTAGAAGGTCCGATTCGGTCAAATGGAGGAGATATGTTCGATTTCAAGGAAACGAGTAAACGGATTGAAGCTCTATGATCTACTTTACTTATTGGAATGCTATAATATGTTTAGGTTTATATTTGTTTCTACTACCACTACATTGTGTAAGAGTTTTCAAATCAAAACGCCTATTTTTTCAAAAATGAATTTAGTTATTAGAAAGAGATCGGACCTCTATGATATACGTTATTGTTGAAATTTTTAGGTGCATTAAAAAGAGTTTCTTTGGGTTTTTTTCATTGATTTTGATGTGTTTTGAAGTAAAAAAAAAGGGCTGTGGAATTGGATTGGCAAAGCTAAAAACGGGTGGCCTCAAGTTTTTGGCGAACTTCCATTAGTCGAAGCTTCAGGGTGAACGACAGACGACTTGGGTAACACGTTGTATACTCTTATTGTTTTGTTTTGTTTTTTGTTTTTTGTTTTTTTTAAGTAATGGGCTGATCAGTGCTGGCCTGGTTCTCCAAGCCTAGAGGTATTAGTCTATATTGCTTTTTTATTTTTTATTTTCCTATTTTAATTTTAAATTTTTTATTATTCAATTTTAAGCTAAAATCATGGAAAATGATCATTATTTTTTGGGGTTTTAAAACAACCTTTCAAGAAAGAAATATTTATGATATATTTTTAAATTTCAAACTTAACACGCATTTCAAATTATATTACTCTTATTATTTGAAGTTTATTTCTTATAAAAAAATCTCATCAAATTAATTACTTTTCTTTGCCTCTTTTAGAAAATTTTATTTTTTAAAAACATTATTTATTTTTCTCTATTTTTAAATTTGGGATAAAATTTTTAAAATATGATTATTTTCTATTTTTCTAAACATAAATCAATATAATTTATATGACAGATTCTTATAATTTTTAAGAGTATCATGATTTTAAAATATATTTAGTCTAAAAGTTAGAATCGTACTATAGATAATTTGTTCCATTTTTTTTTAAAAAAGATAATTAATAATTAAAGTGAAAAGTGAAAAGACAAACATTGTGGTAGCTCTATATTAGATTCATGTGCACAATGATTGGATATGTATGGCGCAGACAAAAAAATATTTTTTTTAAAAAGAAAAAAATTGAATCCACGTAGTTTATTTACTTCTTCTTTATATAATTAAAATTTATCTTAATTAATTTTGTTTTGATTTTTATTTCAATTTACTAATTTCAACTTGATTCAATATGTTCTCCACATGTTAAGTATTTTTGTAGTATTTTTCTTTTTAACATGTCGACTCTAAACCTAGTCAATGTGGTTATGGTGTAAAACAAAAAAAAATCATTGGTTTTATTAAAAAATTAAGTATACACTTACACATAAAACACCGACAATTTACTATCTATTTATTTATTTAATTTTTATATTTTGAAATCATTTTTTCAAATAAAATAGTTAAAATAATTGTTTAAAAACTATCCAATTATATAATACTTTTCAAATAACATTAGAGTTTTTCTTATGTTAATATTGTTGATTATTTTGTGAATAAATATATTTAAATGTAATGCATGTACTTTTAAAAATTAATTGCCTTATGAATGTTCAATAAGAATAATAAAATTATTTCTTTTTTTATTTTTTATGAAACTTTTTGAATTGATTGTTATTTTACTTTTTCAATACAATTTTTTAAAAAAAATTAGGTTTTTTTTTCTTTTCTTTTTGAATGAAGCTTGCTGTTTACATTATTATAATTTTTTAATTGAACAATCCATACATTAAGTAAAACAAATCATTTTTAAAAAATCAATTTATAGAAAAAATAATAAAGAATTAATTAAATATACTAATTTATGCATTGCATATCTTGTGGCTTGATAAATTTTTACAGTAGTAATATTGATGGGGTTGATGCACCACAACACTTATTATAGCTTACGAAACTGTTGAACGAAACCTTGCTATTATTTTTGCCTTTTGAAATTACGTAAAGACTCACTATATCTGATCGTGATTATCAGATCGTTTATATGTCTATAGTGTTTTTTTGTTTGTTTTTTTACTATCTATAAAGTTTTAGAAAACAAGTGATTTGTTGATTTCAACTTAAATCGCTTCATGATTTCAATAGCTTTTTTATAAAATGTTGTCCAAACGCCATATCTGTTAATGTCTTTGTATTTTTGTTTTACAAAATATTATATTGAAATATATCAATGATCGATGCAGTTTAATATGAATATGATATAATGCTTTTTGTCTTTGAACTTTCTTCCTCTGTGTACAAAAAATTTTATATGAAAAACTTTCAATTTTAAATAAAAAATATTATTATCAAGCATGCATAGATATAATCGAAGGTTACAATTTATATACTAATTTTTTTAGGGTTAAAAGGTTTTAAATGCTCTTGAACTTTTAAGTCATTTAAAGTAGAGTCCTCTAATTATTTTATTAGTTTTAAAAATCTCAAAACTTTTAAGTTTTTCAGATTTAGCCATTCTTTAATTTTATGTCATTTATCTGAAAAAATAATAATTATATAAATAGTTTCATGATGAAAATAATTCAATAAGATTTATGTAAGATTTCTAAAAAAATTTAGAATAATTTCAAAGTTATTTTCTATTATTTAAAAAATAAAAAAATATAATTTTTAATTTTAAAAAATTCAAAGTATATGTAAAATTTCTATTCAAAATATCAAGAATTGAATTTGTTGGAGAAGAAGATGATAACTGAAAATCACTGAATATACTAAATCTTAAAAAAATTAAAATTTTAGAGATTTTCAAAACCAATAAAAAATTTAAAAATTTAACGTCATTTCACCAATAAAAAATTTAACTTCAAATGACTCGTGGTTGAAGAATAGTTAGACTATTTTAGGTTTATTTGTTTTTATTTATTTATTTTTGGGATGCTCGCCGGAAGGGGCTACAAACTGATGAGCAACAAATAAAATAAAATAATCCATCCAGAAACTGTAAATGAAGTATTCTAGAAAGACCAAACACGCGGCCAAAGGATGCAGAGTCAGTTAGCATGCATCTACATGCAAAGCCTCGTACCCACCTGAACATTTCGATATTCAAGAAACCTCAGACACGATTCCATTGGATTTTGTCCTAATCTATCATGTCCAAAAATCTCATCCTTGCTGCAGTGGTTAAATTAACCTATATTGCACACGTGTTAATTTTGATTTTGTGTATTAAATTTGATCCCCCCCCCCCCACGCTAATTATTATATATATAACTGGACAGGGAAAAAAAAGTATCGTGGCTCAAGAGTGTGTACATATTGATCCAGGTATTAAATTAAATATTTTTATTTTTTTAAAACTAATAACTAACCACTATATATTTGATTTGATAGAGAAATAATAATAAAAAATATGTATTATGGCTTAATATTATGTACATATTAATATATATATTAAATTTGATTTGTTTTTTTTTTTAATTCAGCAGTAAGAATATCTTTGAATCTCAAAACTAATCTTTATCTTATTTTAATTAAAAGATAAATTCCTAACGTACGATTTCGGATATTTTAAAAATAAAATTTAAAAATCACTAAACATAAAGGGTAAATATAATTTATCAATCGATATTTATTTATTAACGGACTATGCTTTTGTGTTTGAAAAACGTGTATATGTTGGTGTGTACAAAAAAAAAAATGCATTTCAGTTTTTTTTATCCCTTATAATTTAATAGTTTAAATAAAGTTTTGAACTTCTTAAATATATATATTTTTTTTGGTGAAAATAAGATTGTCTTTTCGTTTAATTTAGTACATCTGGATTGCATCCATGTCAAGTAGGAATCTCTGTAATGAGAAAATACCATAAAATAGTAGAGAAGCAAATCAATTTCTTAAATATTAAAAAGTTAAAAGGGATATGTTGCAAAATTAATTAACATGACTGTGTCTTGATTGATGCGTGATTAGCAACTTCTACTCCCATCCTCGATCTGGAAACTCTAAATATCATCACTGTCCATTTTCAATAATCGCACCAGACAAGAAGAAGCACACCTGATCATTCCCTCTCAGTCGCTAGCTTTAGGAAATGATAATACAATCATTTCCACGCCACTTAAAAAAAAAAAAAAAAAGACGAAGAAGTTAATCATAAGTCAATCCCTAGAGTTGAATGAAACTAAAAAATTAATTCTTTTAGTCTTGAAAACTATATAGAGGTTCCTAGAGTTTAATGAAACTAACAATTTAATCCTTTTAGTCTTGGTAACTATATATCAGTCCTAGTACTTGGAGCACAAATCGAGAAATTGAGGATGATCATGCTGGTTGAGGAACTATTTTATTAGTTTTGATATTCAGGAACTAATTACTGAGTTTTAGTAAAATATAGGGACTAAGTTATAACTGACTAAAAAAATCAATCGAATATCTTCCTTTCCTTTATAAGCATCAAAACTCCAACTCTATCCCCTCCTCATCTTTTCCAAAACTCCACACTTCCCTTTCCCTCCTTCCGTCGCCGGATTCCACCATTCTCCGGCTGGATTGCCTCTTTAACCACCATAAAAACCAAAAGCCGCCGCGACCATCCAACTCATCCTCGTTTTTGTATCTTTGTAACAAAATTAAATGGCCTTAATGATCTCCTCCATCTCCGCAAGACCAGTACCAAAACTCTCAGTCTCTACAAACGCACATAACTTCGCTTCCCTATCTTCTCCTTCTTCTTCTTTCCATTCTCTTTCAATGAAACTATTAAATAAGGGCGGACCGAAGAATGGAGTAATGCTTACATTTGCTTGCTCAACCTCGCCGCTTATAGGAAGAGTTGGGTTGCAGAGAAGAGAAGGCAACGTTTCTTTATTGCATTTTGGGATTAACCCAAATGCAGAGGCAGCAAAGACTGATTCTTCTCAGGTCTTATCAGCTATGCTTCCTTTTGTCGTTGCTGTCACTGCAATAGCTGCTCTTGCTCAACCTTCCACATTCACCTGGTTAGTTTCCGCTATATCTAAATTTGTTTGCCTTTAGTCTTCTTTTTGTTACTAATCTTGATTAGTTTTTCAGTAAAAAGTTTTTGCATGTGTTCAAGTAACTGGGGTTTAGTTAATGTGGGGAATTAGTCTTTTCTTGGGATTGTCTCTGCTGCTTCTCAGGGTTTGGTTTGTGTTTGATTACTCATTTGTTGAGTCTGAGGTTTGATTGTGTTTTAAACTTGTAAACTATGATTTATTTTTCTTTTTATTGAGTCTTTTCGAAACTAATCAATATTAAACTATATTTAGCATACTTCGAGATTGTTGCGTTTCAATATTTTATTTTTCTATTATGTTTCTTAAGTAGTTTGTCTGATATAGTGCTTCTTTAATTGCCACATAATTTATTTATTACAGATCGGTCAAAACTTGTGCTTTTTTCATCTTTTCTGGTAGCTTTTCAGGAGTTCTGTTGTATTGATTTTTCTTACTGAAAAAAGGGGATTTGGGACTGCTGATAAGTGTTTGATTAAGGGCTCGAAAAGAGTCTTGGATGGATGCCTAGTTTAGTTTGTAAGTTTGATTTTGAAACTTTTTCAGGGTATCTAAGGAATTGTATGCTCCAGCTCTTGGTGGGATCATGTTATCAATTGGGATTAAACTTTCCATTGATGATTTTGCTCTTGCATTTAAAAGGTACGGGGTTTTTTCTCTCATTAATTTAATTTGTTTCTTTGAATTGCTGAATGTCCAAGTCAATTTGCCAAATATAGAATATCCTCTCAAGTTCTTTATATTTTCCCATCTGTTGCAGACCTTTACCACTATCTGTTGGGTTTATCGCGCAGTATGTGCTCAAACCAGCCCTTGGAGTATTAGTTGCAAAGGCTTTCGGGATGTCTCAGATGTTCTTCGCGGGTTTTGTCCTAACATCTTGTGTTGCAGGAGCTCAGTTATCCAGCTATGCCAGTTTCTTGAGTAAAGGCGACTTAGCCTTGAGCATTCTCCTTACTAGCTCCACTACCATTGCATCAATTCTTGTCACACCTCTTTTAACTGGTCTTCTCATTGGCTCTGTTGTTCCTGTTGACGCGATTGCCATGTCGAAGTCAATCTTGCAAGTAATGAGAGCTCTTTACTAACTGATGTGTTTTTAGATCCGCTGTTTAATTTCCCCTTAAATTTAATATTAGATTCCCGTATTGGTTTTTTTTGTAAGGTTGTCCTTATTCCAGTCACGCTTGGCCTCATGCTAAATACCTATGCAAAGCCAGTTGTAAACTTACTGAAACCTGTGATGCCGTTTGTTGCTATGGTGTGCACCTCGTTGTGTCTTGGGAGCCCACTAGCAATAAATAGAAGTCAGATTCTTTCCGGAGAGGGTCTCCGGTTGATTTTTCCAGTGTTGACATTTCATGCAGTGGCATTCACTTTGGGATATTGGGTCTCCAAAATTCCAGCTTTGAGGTAATTTCATAACTGCGTATTGGGTCCAGTGCATTTTGCGTTTTCAAAATATAGCATTGATAAGAACCAGTCCTCATTGCTATTGTCCTGTTTTGTGACTCTGGCTTATTACAATCCTCGTGCAATAGTTGTTTCAGACATGTTCTCCCAGTTCCATTGTTATACAATCCCCTGTAGCTTAACGTGCCAAATTTCTATACATCAATGGACTTGGTGATGGTTATGCTTATGTGGATGTTTGTGAGCGTAATTTAGCAACGAAACCTCACATGATCATTTACCCATTGTCTGATTTCACACTTGTTGGTTTTAATATAGTTGCTTATTTTTCCCGTTCTACTGCTTATATTGAGTTTTCAACCCATTCTGCTACAGCACTCCGTTCTTCTGAACTTTTTTTTTTTTTTGACGAGTGAATATTTTAGAAGCACAAGTCCCTTAGTTATAGTTGAACCCATGACCTCCTGCTTCATACAGGAAGCTAATACCAGTTGGACCAAATATCAATTGGGTTCCTCTGAACTTATATCAGCCTTTTCTAATTGCTGCCTCATGCCTTGGGAATAGTTTAACTTAACTTGATATTTCAGAAAAGTCATTCGGTCCTGTGTGCTCTGCACAGATGTCGGCTAATTCCTGTTAGAAACTTAGAGAATGTTGGACTCCAGCCATTCTGATTGCTTTCTCCTATTTTGCCCCTTATATCAACTTCCCTGACTTTTTGTGTTCTAAGGAGACCAAATTCACAATTTTTTTCGTTAAAATCGTAACCCAGTAATCATTTATTGCCTTTGAAATAGTGGCCCTCCACCAAATTCCTCAATATGATCTTGCTTTTCATAAAGACAATGCTCCTCTGAATAGGCTGAATGAAGGTTTGTATAACAATCTATAGCAGTTTATTTGCTCTTAACTTAGATTCTAGCAAATGCATCATTGGTTTTTTGTTTTTTTCCATTTTCTTGTATGAATGGATTAGAATTTTGTATAAAAGGGAATAAGAAATTAACTTCTGTGGTTATTGTCACAGGCAAGAGGAAGAAGTTAGCAGGACAATTTCATTATGTACAGGCATGCAAAGCTCCACCCTGGCAGGACTTCTTGCCACCCAGTTCCTAGGGAGCACTCAGGCTGTGCCGCCAGCATGCTCTGTAGTTGCCATGGCGATCATGGGTCTTTGTCTTGCCTCTTTCTGGGGTAATGGCTTCCGGATAAGAGACCTTCCATCCCACCTGATCCCTCAATTTGGTTCTACTGTCAAGGTTTAGCATAGCAATCCCCAGGAGCACTCTTGAGGATCAGATGGAGCTAATGTAGCACATGAAGAGTTGGCAACAAAGGCCTCTAGTACTGATGGTTGAACCATCAAAACCAGGTGAAAAATATCATTAAAGTATACAATTGGAGGGGGAGATATAGATAGCGGGACAGTGGCCGTGCCTGGTGCTGTATAGTTTAGAAGCTCTTTTCACCAGCTGCACTATAAAGTTGCTACTGTATATATCAGAGGTAAATGAATTACAAAATGTAGCCAATAGCCAATGTGAAAGCCCGAGTTACATGTTCTCTCTTTCCCTTTCTCTGTGGATTGTGCCTTGAAACCCCATGGAGTTGGCTTGATCCTAAACATTACCTCGTCTAATTCCTAAACATTGGCAAAAATATGCATAGATTAGTCTCAATTGATAAGTGATTTAAATTGAGGTGTAAATTGGTTTGAGAATATTCCATATTGTTGAGAAAAAGATGGAAACTAGTTTGAGAATATTCTATATCGTGGAATAAAAAAAAGAAAAAAAGGTTACGTTAATCTTGCATGCAACGTGCGCAAAATTAAATATCACGCTTGTGTTGTCGGGAGAAGAACTGGGGTCCTGAAGTTGTGAACCAGAAAGAAGGTTGAAAGGATGCTATTATATGAAGTTGTGTTGAGCCTGCTATCTAACTGAACCGAGTTGCAGCCTTTTCTAACCTTTTCAAAGCCTCATCAATATTGGGCCCACCATTAATCATTCCTGAACTGACGAGTTATGAGATTTACAAGCTGGGAGTAGGCATGAAGCGTAGGGTTCTAACGTTTCGGCCATTTAAGGAGCTCAGAACTAGGTTTATTTTGCCCCTGCAGGTTGACTAGAATAGGTTAAATTATTTTAATTTGATAATTGTGTTATGTTATAAATCTATAGAAATATGTGAAATCAAAAACAAAAAAAATATGTATTTATAATTTTTTAGTCAAAATTTTGTATTTAATTTTTTTTTAATGTTTTTCATAATTTTTTCTATTAAAAAGAAATTTATTCTTAATCCATAGATTCTTAATTAAAAAGAAAATTAAAAAAAATAGATGAGAATTTCTAAAAGAAATAATAAACTAAAATAATAAATTTAAAACAATAAGACCGATATAATATAAAATATATGTTCAATCTAAAATATATCATAGATATCTCTTTCTTGTCAGGTTGGGTGAAAAAAAATAATGATTGATTTTTTTTTAACAATAAAAATAAAAATAAAAAAGTCTTTGGAAAAAAAAAAAAACAAATAAGGCACATGTGAGCTAGATTACACAAAAAAAAAAAAAAAAAAACAAACTACGCATAGTTGGTTAGATGAGACCTCACCATGCCTCTCTCTCCTCCTTTAGCTTCCTCCAATTCCCTCACTTCTTTAAATTCAGAGACCAAACCATAATACAAACAAAAGCTTGAAATCGAAGTATAAATATGTAAAAAAAAATCAAGGATCAAAATGTAACATCCTAAAAGCATGAAATATTGCATGTTAAATGCCTCAAAATCTCTTGAAAATTCAAAAATATTATAAATAGTAAAAGCAACAATGATTTGTAAGTGTATGAATAATATAGTAAATAGTAAAAACTCATTTTATTTCGAGTGTCTTTTGTTAATTTAGTTCACATCAAAAAAACCATTTATTTGAAATTAATTGAATAAATAATTCATAAAAAAAATTAATAAAAAATTTAACAAAAAAATAAAATTTACAGTATTCCATTTATTTTCTAGTTTCTTACCGTGTCAATTTCCAATTCTTTGTTATCGAAATTTCTAGGCAATATGGATTAATATTTAAGGATAGATATTAGCTCTCTTTTTCTCTTTTCAAATAAATTGAAATGATTTATTGAATTATTTCTATTTGGAATCGACTTATTACGGTAGCTCCATGCCATTAGCCATTGATTGATTTCCATGTGATGTTCTCTTCTATTATAATGAAAATGGACGACAAATCTATCCAAGTTGTTTATCACCCATCCACGTAGTGTTAGAGACTAGTATAAATTATATTCTAGTGGCCTCACCTATCAGCTTAAGCTTTTAGGTAAGATGGTCCTTTAATATGGTATCGAGCTTGGTTGACCTCGAGGTCTCGAGTTCAAATCTCACCATCCCCAATTTCTCAAATATTAAAGCACAAGGCAATGTGGACTCGTGCAAGTTTCATGCCCCAAATGTTGGGCCTTTCACTTGAGGGGTGTGTTAGAGACTAGTATAAATTATATTCTAGGGCCTCACCTATTAGCTTAAGCTTTTAGGTGAGATGGTCCTTTAATATGGTAATTAAATTCTTTGATGCATTCGCTTTGTGAAGTTTTAGTGAAGGTGAAGTGTTTGTTATTCTAAAACCTTAAACTATAATGAAAATGGAGGCGGCAATTTGAGTGACAATTAATTTTCCGTGATTCATTGAATTGTCATTAGTTCGGTAGCATTTGCATACCTGTCTTACGACTCGAAGGTAGGAAAAGAAATTGCATGCTAATATTCTAAAACCTTAAACTATAATAAAAAATTGCATGCTAATATTCTGAAAACCAATTACATAAAGGAACAAAAAAACTAAGTATAAAAGCAAAAGTTTATTTTCTTTCACCTATCACGAGTCGAGAAAGATTAAGCCGGAAGAACAACCGATTTCTCTTCATCATTTGGCTCTAATTCTATTTTCTTAATATGGTGAGATAATCTGTTCACCATCGATTCACAAAGAATTGAACCCAACAATCTTTGAATCTCGTCCGTTATTCTAGCAAAATCATTATTCGGTAGCTCGAATCTCTAATTTTTTAAAATCCTCAATTCGTCTTCTTATTCTCTTCCATTTCCCCTTCATCCTTCTCTTCCATTGTTCTATTTATCTTCTTCAAATATATATGTTTATGGGTTAAAATCCTAAATTTTTTATAATAAAAACCCATAATTCGTGAGAACCCAAAAATCCTCAAATTGCTTTATTTATTTTGTGAAAACCCTAAAACTCCCAAATTGATTTTTTCATTTTGTTAAAATCCTAAATTAGATAAGTGCATTATCTATATCACCAACCCATGGAAAAATTTATGATGGACTCAATTCATAATCCTCTACTCTTACCAACGAAATTGAGGATGATAGATTGTGATTGATTTGTGCAACTTCATCACAACCTCTTGAATTGAATTATGAAAAGCCTCGCAATGATATGTCATTATTAGTTGAAGACTCTAAGGTGGATGTCATGGAGTGACACGTATCTAGGTTCGAGGTTTCATCCATGTCATATATGTTTTGCCCACAATGATAATAAAAATTTTGGTTGTGGTTATTAGGCATAGAAGGATGATTTCATAGAAGGTAGAGATAAGATGATTGTTTTAAGAATAAGAAATAAACAAAGATAGATTTATAGAGAAAAAAATTTGTTACTGAAAGAAAATAATGAATTGGTTGAAAGGTTGAGGAATGAGTTAGATTCTCTTTTCATGGAAAAGAAAGAGTTACCGATTGAGATAGCAAGACAAAAGGCAGAGAAAGAACATATGATTTGAGAATAAATAAATTAAGTGAATACAATATTAAGTTACTGAACTTTTGTAAAATAACGGTAGTTTTAATTTTAGTTCCGTTGATTGTTTGTAAATTGTACTCGAAGTATATTATTTGTAAATGATATTGAAGTTTGTAAAATCACATTGATGTGCGAGTGGTTTCTTTTAGGACTCTCCATCTCTAATTGGCTTTAACCATAAAATCAAGGGATTTGATTGGCATGTTTTGACCAATATATGTCTTTAAGTTGTGATGGCGTGTTGTACCATCATAAATTAATTATTTCTTTCTTCCTTACTTAACCTTTGATTCAACCAATGTTCTTTATCATCTGATTGTTCCAAGGTAGACGGAAAGGTAAACGGGGAAGGAAGGTTGTTTTTTTTTTTTTTTAGAGTACTAAATGTAGTCAAAGGAAATAAGAGATAATGATAGTAATAAAAGCCTTGATTAAAGGTTGGTTTCTAATTTTGGTTCAATCATTGATAATCAATTTAGATATTAACTCATTCTTATTATGAATATTCACCATAAGAAAACAACATGTATTTTATTCCTAATCTTTCCTTAATGATTCTTTAACCAATATAAGTTATTTGATTAATCCTTAACTATTGAACAACCTAATAGAAGCTATCTAGATTTAATCTAATAATAGCATTGAGTGATAGAAAGATAGGTGAAGCTAAACAACTCTCCTAGGTGTTAGAAGAATTTAATCTAGCTCTATGTTATCTAAATGATTGAACAAAATCATATTTATAATCATTAACCTCTAGTTGCTACCATAACCAAGTTTAGACAAGCAATTACAAATTTAAATTCTTAGCTAGTAATATATTGTAAAGATTAATTAACTAGTGTGCACTTTAATTAATCAATCATACAACTATATTCATATAATATAGAAAAACATCAAATAATTAAAAGAATAAGATTAGAAATAGAACCGATTTAAATCTCACAATGATTTTACCAAAGGCTTCAACTTTTCTTAAACTAAAAAAGGTTTTTAGTGTTATATGGTTTTTTATTACAAAAGATGATTTCTATCTATGGTCGTTGGAATGAATGAGAGAATCCCTAAAATTAAACCCTAAATTCTCTATTTTTACCAAAAAGTTGGGTTACATCATACACACAATGGCTGCAAGATATCACATGATTTGGTCTTTGAGTTTACACGGTTTGGAGCTTTGAAGAGCTAGTAACACATGTCTTGATTGATCGAGGCATACAATTGTGCCTAATTTGCTCTTCATCCTATGTCCTTTAGTTTCTGTCCGTGTGTCATTTTTTTCTCCCTTGGAAGACATCTCGGCATTGACACACATATGGACGTGTCATTTCTTCCGCCCAAGCCATGTGGATTGCTATTACCCGTGTGTCTTCTTTGTTAAACACCCACACGATTTCCTTCTTTATGTCAT